TGTTGGTGTTGTTTAGAAAACAAAAACAAACAAAAAAACCATTTATAGCACTTTTTAATGTAATTTAATTCTCAAATCTTCTTTACCATTTCATTTAGAAGTAAGACTTTCAAATGCAGGTGGCGCTACAAAATAGTAAAGTTGTTGTCAATAAAAATAAATGAGGTGTCCTGGTCTATATATGTACATACATATATATATGTACATACACATATATATGTACATACACATATGTGTGTATATATATATTACACATATTTGTAATTATATATATATATATACACACACACACACACAAACATATACATACATACACATATACATATATACACATATTGCAAATGTATTAAAAATAAAAAAAACTAAGAAACCACATGTACCTAAGTATTCACAGCCTTTGCATGAAGCTCAAAATTGAGCTCAGGTGCATCCTGTTTCCACGGATCATCCTTGAGAGGCTTCTACTGCTTAATAGGAGTCCACCTGTGGTAAATTCAGTTGATTTGACTTGATTTGGAAAGGCACACACCTGTATTTATAAGGTCCCACAGTTAACAGTGCATAAACCAAGCATAAAGTCAAAGGAATTGCCTGTAGACATCCGAAACAGGATTGTCTCGAGGCACAAGTCTGGGGAAGGGTACAGAAACATTTCTGCAGCTTTGAAGTTCCCAATGAGCACAGTGGCCTCAATCATCCGTAAATGGAAGAAGTTTGGAACCACCAGGGCTCTTCCTAGAGCTGGCCGGCCATCTAAACTGAGCAATCGGGGGAGAAGGGCCTTAGTCAGGGAGGTGACTAAGAATCCGATGGTCACTTTGTCAGAGCTCCAGCGTTCCTCTGTGGAGAGAGGAGAACCTTCCAGAAGGACAAACATCTCTGCAGCAATCCACAAATCAGGCCTGTATGGTAGAGTGGCCAGACAGAAGCCGCTCCTTAGTAAAAGCCACCTGAAAGACTCTCAGACCATGAATAAAAAAATTCTCTGTTCTGATGAGACAAAGATTGAACTCTTTGGCGTGAATGCCAGGCGCCATGTTTGGAGGAAACCAGGCACTGCTCATCACCAAGCCAATACTATCCCTACAGTGAAGCATGGTAGTGGTAGCATCATGCTGTGGGGATGTTTTTCAGCGGCAGGAAATTGGAGACTGGTCAAGATAGAGTGAAAGATGAATGCAGCAATATACAGAGACATCCTGGATGAAAACCTGCTCCAGAGTGCTTTTGACCTCAGACTGGGGCGACGTTTCATCTTTCAGCAGGACAAAGACCCTAAGCACACAGCCAAGATAACAAAGAAGTGGCTTCAGGACAACTCTGTGAATGTCCATGAGTGGCCCAGCCGGAGCCCAGACTTGAATCCAATTGAACATCTCTGGAGAGATCTGAAAATGGCTGTGCACCGACACTCCCCATTCAACTTGATGGAGCTTGAGAGGTGCTGCAAAGAGGAATGGGCAAAACTGCCCAAAGACAGGTGTGCCACGCTTGTGGCATCATATTCAAAAAGACTTGAGGCTGTAATTGCTGCCAAAGGTGCATCAAAAAAGCATTAAGCAAAGGCTGTGTATACTTCTGTACATGTGGTTTCTTAAGTTTTTTAAATTTTTAATAAATTTGCAAGAATATAAAAAAAATGCGCTGTGAATACTTTCAGGATGCACTGTACATCTGAGCCTAGGAAGAGAACACTTAGACTGGACATTGGTGCAGAAAATCCAAAGAGACACTTTTCTCAATAAAATAAGTGTGGATTTTCCAGCTTCATATTTCTCTGTGCAGACCCTGAACCCCAGAGTATTCCCCCTTCATGCTTTGTGGTTTCATCCATGTTCCCTGTTCCAGACTTGTGGTTCCTATCGCTTAGATTTGTCAGGTGGAAACAAGGTCAGTGAACCCTGTGTGCACTCTCAGAATGACATGTTAGTGGAATTTCAGCACACATCCTTGAGCGTGCCCAAACTTACACACATATGACAATAATACTGCCTATGGTAGTTTTACATCTGATTCAGATGTAAATCACCTGATAGTCCTTTAGTGAGGACTAGGGATTTTGAATGTTTTACTAAGGTTCACACACAGCAACAGACAGCTGTGAAGTAGTCATACACATTTCTGAGTTAAATTGCTTTTCTAACATTCATAATCTGGGGATAATTACAGCTGTTCTGCATTGAATAAAAACTGAAGCTGATTCCATATAGCACTAACTCGTGCTGTATGATAACTTGTGCAAACCCCTTTAACATTTTAGACTTTTTTTAATGAACAAAATCATATATCATTTTGCTTTCACTTCACAGTTGTGCAACTTTAGTGTGGTCTTTCAGTAAAATTTCAAAAATACGTTACATGATAAAATGTGCACTGAAAGCACTAGCAGAGGCTACCTTTCAGTCATGAACTCATTGAAACGCAGTTTTCTATGAAAACATCATTATTTTCATCAAACTCGACAATGGCCAAGAACCACATTAAAACTAGAAGACAACTACTTCAGGTGAGATAAATAAAGTATATCTCATCTCATCTCACAATTCAAATAAAAGACTTGAGTCCTGTGGTGCCTGGACACAGGTCTGATGGACCTCACACTGTGACAGCATAGCCCGCCTCAGTTTCCGTCCTACGGCCCGAGGTTTCTCACGTTTTCCCATCGGGTTTTTAAGTCGTTCTTTACCAATGCAAGAGGGTCTAATAAGGTCCCCCTATGACCAATGGTTCTATGTGTTTTGCCATTATTGCAGTTTGATTCTCTGATCTTCTGAGACGAGTCTGCTGTGGGGATTTAAGGCTATACTTAGGGTCGCCAGCAGGGCAGTAATTGACAAAATACATTTTCAGTATTGCACTCCATTGGCACCCTTCTGAAAAAGCAATCAAAGACTTGTTCTAATATGTTGTAATATGTTTTTTATCAAATGTTTGAGGGTTGCATTGTAAATGCTTCTTGGCCAGGACACCTTTAGAAATGCGATTTCTATGCTTAAATAAAGGCTAAAAAAGAAAACAACATAACTACTGTAGTGCGTCCATTTAAAATTGCAATACCAAAGAAACTTTTTCCATTTAGAATTTCTTAAAATGACTAAACCCTGACACCCTTTTTAGTTTGTTCTCATTGTTCTGCTAGTCGGTATTTATCTGTGTTTTGTTTGTGTACTAGAGGCATGCAGCACACACAATCACACATCTTCCTCATCTCAGAGCTCGGATGACTCATGCAATGTTCCAATCTCATGGACCTGTAACTACAGCCTTAAAACATGCATAAAAGAGCTACTTCCTGCTCACAAAGCACATTCTGTTTGCCTTTAATGCAATTGAAACTGAGCTCACATATGACCCTATACGCACTCTAACAACCCATACCACTGGCCTAGATACAGCCGCCATGTGCGACACACAGAGCTGCCGTGTGATTGGACGATGCACTCTCTACAGGTGACAGTGGACGTGCTGCTGCGCCTACAAACTGCAGATGGCGTTGTGGTGCAGGGATGTGAGGAGGCTAGCAATGTTGGGACATATAGAGGGGTGGGCAAGAAGGGGAGGAGTCTGGGGCTGTCTGAGGTAAAGCATGTCCTTGTTGATCCTACACAACAACCACATAATTCATGCACAGCATGGTTGGGCAGTGATACTGTGCACAATGCGCAGGCAATCTGCTCGCATATGGACACATGACAAAACTAGATTAAAGCCTGTCTTTTCAAAATTCATTTTAAGCCAACACTAAAAAGCCAGCACACAAACAGGCTTCGGAAAAGTAGGCCACTTCAGGTTGTTATGATTCTCTCAAGCAGAGTTCTTTCCAACTCGAGAGTGTCTAGAGATTTTATATTATAGATAGATTATAGACAGCAAGATTAATTATTGTTCAAATGAGATAACTCTTTCCAAGAGAATCTTGAGGATAATTTAACTGACAATATTATTATTTAACTTATTTTCTAATCTGGTTATCTGGTATCCAGTTTGCATTGTAAGTGAAGAATGCATTGCCATTTGAATTATGTCATGCAATGTTCCAAGTAACCAATTGCAATTTTTAACAACTGATAATCTGCAAAGAAATGTGCATATTATTGTAATTTACATAATTTGCAAAAGGCATTTAAAATTTGAATGACATCATGAAAAATGTTCTCCATTTTCAAATTGCATTGTCACTTTGAATTACGACTGGAGTGTTTGTGTATTTTTATGCAAATTAAATCAATTGAAATCTTTGGCAACTGTGCCTTGTTCATTATAGTTTTTAAAATCAAATCCCAGAGTACTTTTTCATACATGTAATCTATCATACATTTGAATAAGAAAGGCTCACATGTGATGTTTACTTTAACAGCTTTCTTTGAGTAATGAATACAAAATATACCCAGCAAGAGCTCTGGTGTGTGTCGTCTTCTGGTGCACACCGGGGTAGTCTTGCACAGTTTTCCAATGTGGTTTTACTGCAAATGGCAAATAAATGAATCTGAATCTGAATCTGAGTGGCCTACTGCTGCGTGGATCTTCTTTTGTTGCCAAGTTTTGACTTTCGGACTCAGCGTGTTGGTCGTGGCCAAACAAACACAATCCCCAGTCAAACATATCCATTTGTTAATAAAATATAAGCTTTAAATTATTTACTTTTTTCTTAAGTTGCGGAAAAAATACTTTTAATATATGAACAAATTTCACAAACTAAAATCAACTCTGAAAGTTCAATCACAGGGATGTTTATACAATAATTGTTCATAAAGTCTTTCTCCCATCCACCTCTTGCTGTAGCCTACATAAGACCAGAAATACTTTTTGAATGTCAGTTATTAGTACAGCAAAATGAAAAGTTTCAATGCAAACTGTACAACTGGTCAATTTCATAATAACAGGAAAGAAGATCTACATTATATTCGTTTTACCGTCTGGATTTTTCGAATTCGAGAGCACCACAGCAAGAAGTAAATGTCAGAGCACAAAAGGAGTAGAAATTGAGGGGGAAAACGTACCATTGCATTCTTCTCTTTACTTTTCAAAGCTGGCTTCTTCTTTTGAATGTATGATCTGGTTATGGAGCAAGTTAACAGTTTATGTTGTGTCTTCTCCTGAGTAGAGTATGGATTTGTTGGATAATGCTACAGAGCGACTGTTATAGGAATCATCCAGTTGGATGCACTGTTCGTGCAGTAGCTTCAGCCCGAGGAGGCCTCTTCGGCTACTGTTGCTTTACCACTGCCTCCAAGGCAACTGGGCAGATGCTGAGGTGTAGGGAAATAATGCACTGGACCAGTTTCTGTTTCCCTTCTGTTTCTTGAGGTAAATTTGTAATTGTCTGCCAGAAATACTGTAATACTAACAACCAGAGTATGAGGCTACAGAGAGTGCGATGGGTGGTAGCTTCGCTTTCTTCACGTTCAGATGTGTTTTTATAGGAGTGCTGGCAGGTAGGTCGAAGGTTGTTGGTGCTGGTCACATTTGCGGATTTGTGTCTGAGAGGCAATCGAGGCTTTGTCACGCTTCCAGCACTGAGAGGTCAGAGTTGTGGACTTGTTTGCAGTTGGTTGGCTGTCGGTGGAAGAGGTAGGCAGTGGGAGACTTTCCCTGAGGTATAGGGATAGAATGTTGCACAATAAAGTAAGAGGCCGAGAGATCTGATAACAGAAAATAAACTTCCTATTGTGTTTTTTTTCTTTCTCTGGGAGGTAGAAAGTCGAGTAGAGGGCTCTGAGTGAATCTGAGAAAAGTGAGCGGCTGACTGTGAGGTACTGCTGTTGTATCAATCTTCGTCTTCTCTTCGTCTTTGCTTGGGTGTCTCTTAAATGAAAATGCTGGTGGTCGTCCAGTGTCCATCAGAGAAGGTGAGAGCGCCTCCGCTTTACATGGATGAAGCGTTTGTCTGTAGAAGCACCTGCAGGAGACAAAACAAGCTTAGAGCAAAGGTAGAGGCAGCAAATGTTTTGTCTTCTCCTTTTCATTAATAAATAATAAACTGGAATGAACATGCATATTTTATTTACATAACATTAGAATCTTTTGTGTTGCTGGCAAATGTACAGAAGAGAATTCCTCACCAACAACATTCAACTAATGTAAAATAAATAAATACAAAAGCATGCAACTATCCAAGTCATGTAACTAATTTCTTCTAATTGCACACATAAAAAGGTGTGGGGAATAAGTGTGACATATGTTAAGTACATTTCATTTCAAAAATCAACTCGCAGAACAAATGTCTCTTTTTCACAATCTATTCGAGTCAGTGTGAAGTCGTTGCAGAGTGACTTAAAGGAATGTACATTTCTGAACTTTGGGCACCCTACTGTTATGTACAGTGAGTATTTTTCAACAATAATTTACTTTGAATAGTCTAAAAAGAACTACGACCAGTGAGATTTGCTGGAGGAGAATAGTTAAACCAATAACAAGGGGTCTCAAGGATTTGAGACAGACCCTAAGCTACGGAGGTGAGCATGGACGCGTCTAACTAGTGTTTGACTTTCACTCTTGGTTTGAAAAGTAACTGACATTCACTAGATCTCTTGTAATGCTCTGACAGAACATAACGTCAATTTAGAAAAAAAAAAAAAAAGGAAAAACATTTCTCACTGTAACACAAAGAAACCCACAAAAAATAAGTACATGAATTTAAAAACATTGCTGTGCATGACTTTAGATATCACATCACAAGAGCAGCCAGAGCTCCGTGTATTAATGAGACACAGTTGGTCAACAGAAAACTGTATCCAGAAAATACAAAATACATGTTTTGAAATGTTTCTGGGTGAAAATTGCCCTATTTCTTCAGTTGTACTAGCATTACTACTGCCTCCGTATCAAAGAAGGAATCCTACTCATATCACTGGATACAAAGAGAGGCTTGTCATGATGAAAACAGACACAAAAACCCACAGTTGCATAATGAACAACATTAACAGTTCTTGTCCAGTTCTCAAAATGCAGAATGGCTGTTGGCAACGCACATTTGAATAAACACAATGTACAGACACAGATTCTCTCTTAATCTAGTTCCATCTGTGCATGTTCCTCTTGGGCTGGGAGAGAGAGCCACACACGCGCACACACACGGAGCAAAAGGCTTGTATACAGTTTCAATATTGCTTTGGAACAATTCCGTCAACAACATTTGCATACATGAAAATTCCCTCTCCCCCTCCAAAAGTTGTCACGGCACTTCTACGTGAAAACTTCCTCTGGCAGATAAATACTACGCTACTTCACATATTGAATTACATGCAGCATAAGCACTCTCCCACACACGCACACAAACTACTGTATAAGCCCCATACCTCCCCTGGACTATGCTCCCAAGACACAGCAACAAAAACACATCCTTCCTCAGATGCATGCAGTACGAGCGCTCACGGGAAAGGCTAATTAACAAGGCCAGGAAACTCCAAATGAATACCACATCAAGATTAATCTCATATAAAGGCACAGAAGCAGCACAAACAGAGGCAACGTATACTTGGAACAATTTGTACCATGTAAGAAAAAAAGCCTTTCAACGGTTAGTGGTTGAGCAGGATATGTTACAACCTATAGAAATATGTCTGTAACTGTCAAAATATCATCAGTTCCTGAGACATGGGAGTATTACTTATTAATTATGTACTATTTATGATTACAATGTGTCTAAGTAGAATTTTAAAATCGTTTTTCCAAGCATGCAGGGATGTTGCAGTGTTTTGCAGCCTCTTAGAAAGACGAGTCTTAAAATGAGGCTAACGACATGCTCGCTGACGTCACTCTTTTAAAAAAAGTGACCTCTACATTCATTTGCATATCATAATTCAGTAAGAGAAGGGTGAGGGAAATTAGGGCTATGCTTGTTAACCAAAGAGTCAAGTGCAGTGTAGAGAAACTTGCTGCATTCTGAGACAAATAGTTTTAGGTTAGCACATGTCACGATGAGGACCGGTCAAGCTTAAGCTTAAGCAATAAAAATAAGAAAGGAGCCCTGCAGAAGGTAAGATTAATGGATTGGATTTGATATTGCTCATATGGAGTTTCCTTTCTCATCAGTCCTAAAATGATTAATGGTTTTGCCCATGCCATAACAATGAATATTTTGGTCTTAATATTAATAGCACAAAAGAGAGTAACAGGATTCAACCTCTCACCATTTTAATTTAATAGTGTAGGGGGAGGCTGAAGTGCGGCTGTGTTGCTGGTCAGATGGAAATTGGAAATTGAGACCTCTCTTAAACACTGTTTATTTTTTGAGCCTAACAAAGCCAGCACACCAACCTGAGGACCGCTTGGATAAACTACTACAAAGCCTATGACTCAATGAACATTGAATGCTTGGAACTATACAGCATCAACAGGACTCTATGGGGTATATATACATACCCAATGGTTAGACTGAAAGATGGCATAGAGGTCCTCACCTGGCACAGGGGCAGGCCCTGAGCATGAATGATAGAGGCCCAGATCTACCACATCAGACCCCAGGTGTGGACTGTGCAAAGATGCCCATGAGACAATCTAGTGCATAACTGCAGGGTGTAGAGATGTTAGCAGGGAAAGCTACAAGGAGTGCAATAACCAAGTGGCTGGTATAATAAAGAATGTTTGGAAAACCCGAGATCAAAATAGAAGACAAGGGCCACTCGTTCATAAAAACAATCATAATTATGCTAGTGATTATTAAAATCATGAAAAAGATCTATTAATACTAATCTTAATAACAAAATAAATAATAATAATTGCAATTTTTATTTGTCAACCAGAGAATGGCTAAAGTGCTCCCTTATAACTGAATTTGACTTTCAAGTTTTTGATGCAGCTCTCCCATAATATGCAGTATGAAATATCATTACAGTACCTGGACCTGAAGAAAATCAAATGGCACACAGCCCTATTTGACTTTTAATCAAATGTTCATAGAGTAAATGACAAATGCATCGAGACCCTTTGGCAACAGCTAGTCTGACGATTAGGATCTCGAGAACATACTGTGCTTGAAATCCACTTGGGAATCCTACTTCAGGGATACTTAACAGCTAAAATATCCACCCAGCCATATACTGTATCTATCCCAAAACATGATGCCAACCACTTAATGGCCCTAAGAAACACTCAATGTTAAATTAGGTCATCAAACAAATGTACCACGATAGAATCCCCCCTGACCCTAAAGTGAGGAAGAGTTCATGTGGCGGTCAGCTGTCTTACCATTTAAATCCATCATGCAGCATTAAGAGAGGGAGAGAGTGCAATGTGCCTTATGCAGTGTTGCTGGGGATTTCTCCCTCATAAACAACGCTTTGCTTGTCTCACACTCGGACAGAATGGTCAGAGCTTCACATCAGATTATCCAGAGCCACGGTGCGACTGCATGGATGTATGTTGAAAACGAGCCATAGGATCTAATGGCAGATGACAAAATGGCTCAGAGCCGCTTTAGTCAGCAGCTTCATTAATCCTCTATGTTTTAATCTTCTGTTTGTGGGGCTGTCAAAGCCCTAATCATGCTTCCTCACAAGAGGAAAGCCACTGATGATATGATGAGGCACTTCAACTCAAAATGAGATTCGTACTAATGAACAAGAACACAAAGAAAGTGATAATAAGTGGTGATAATATTGATGTGAGGGTAAACAGGAGAGAGGTGAGACCCTGCTGAGATTTATTTACCCAGCAGTACACAATTCACTGTGGTCCAGATTCGATAATGCATACAGTAAACACAATAAACACAGACAAAATGTAAGAGATAAACATGACAGAAACCCCTGACAGGATGCTGGAGCACCAAAGGAGAGGAAAGCTCCCATTGTAGATGGTATAAAGGAATAATTGTTGTTTCATAAACGTGTAACATAGAAAAGAATAATGGAGTCATGCAAAATCCTGGTAATAATATATCATTCTATGTGCAGTGGTTAGCACTTGTGCTTCTCAGCCAGAAGGTTGTGGGCTCCAGGCCTATCTGTGTCTTTTTTGAACATTCAAAGACGCGTCACATGTCATTATTCATTCACTCCATACACG